CCGGTGCGGCAGCGCCGCCGGGCCCCGCGGGGCCGCCGCCCCTTTGCGGCCTCCCGCCGCACCCCCCGCAGGCCGAGGGCAGCCGCTGTCGCACCCGCCCCGCCGGTGAACAGCAGCACCTCAGCCGGGCTCCCTGGCTGGGCGCGCCCAGCTCCGAGAGCCTCCGTGCAGGAGCGTAACGCTGCCCCGCGGCTTCGCTGGGGAAAACCGGGTGACGCTCACCACCGACTGACCTCGATAAAGCCTTGAAGGACCACCTGCCCAGCACCCGCCTCGAACACTGATCTCGGAGCATCGTGGTCCGATTCTCAGGGGCCAGCTGTTCCTATTCGAGGCACGTTCGAAGGATGATGAACAAATCAGTTAAAAACAAATTCAAGCCCCCACCTTTCCCTGCTGTGACAAGGCAACGGGACTCCCACTGTCAAATGTGCAGTCTTTATGTACAAGCTTGAAAGACAGGCTGACAGGTCATGACATGACCAAGCGCACGTATGGTAAAACAAGGACTTGCCAGCTAAAAAACTCCAAGCATACTTGTGCTTTTTCCTCTTAAGATTTCCAAGTTCTCCCCCATGTCTCTGTATGCCAGTAACTCCCCCATGTCTTGTTGTGAATGTGAGTTATTGTTAACACTCCTCCAGGAGCTCACGTTTCTTTCCTGTCCTGTTTACTGACCTGGTTGTTCATAGTGCTTTTACCTCTTCTACCTCCTACTCTCATTTTTCTTTCCCCTTCTTCTTGTCCCCACCTCCGAGGCTGTCATACCAGCTGTCTTAACTCCTGCTTACTTACTCCAGTCCTTCTCACCTGCCATTTCAAACCTTTCTTCCCTCTTTTGAAAGCCTGTTTTCAATTTATTGTGTTTTTTCCACTTTCACTTCATTGATAAACTTACTTTACCCTCTTTTGAACTTCAGTATTTTCTTCAGTTTCTCCATTTCTGCAGTTCATTGTCTGCGGTTACTTTTTTCCCCTCCAGGCCAGCTCACCTTTCCTCTGCAGAGGAAGAGGAAAGCCCATCCCTCCACCTGGTCTCTTGTGTCACAGTGAGATCCTGGACATTCTGCACAAGACTTCCCACGGATGGCAGCCATCAACCACTCCTCCAGGCAAAGCAAAGGCCTTGGAAGTGATTCTCTGATGCCTCTTGGTTTATCATGTCCCTTAAGACTCCTTTGCTGCCCCTGTGAGAACAAGTTAGCAGGTTTTTTATATATATAGTACCCACCCAAGAGCTCTGGAGATACCGTGAATGAAGTGAATTGCTCACAGAAAGACGGCACCTGCAATTAACACTAACACTCAAAAACTGTGGCAGAAGGGAAAAAATAGAAAGGCCAAAGAAATCAGGATGGCAGTTTGGAAGTCACAGAGCTGTAGTTTTACATTACTGCCACGTAACTCACATGAAGTAATAACTGAAATGCATTAAAGAGAGCACAACACAAAGACTCATTAAGTCTCTGTATGCAAAGCCAAGTCTCCAATTTATCACATATTTAGATGGCAAGGGACCAGAAACCTCTGCTTTAAACCTTGAGGAAAAAAAAAATCAAAAGAGGTTGTAGCTAAGGATGGTACAGATGAGAAAATACATTTATGGAGTTGCAGAGGGTAAGGACAAAGGGGGGAAAGAGGACCTTCCTGAGGAGTGGAGGTGCCATGGAGAACTCATAGAAACCTTCCAGTATCTGAAGGGGGCCTTCTGGGAAGCCAGAGAGAGACTTTTTTTCATCAGGAATTTTAGTGAAAGGACAAGGAGTAATGGAAAAAGGGGAAATTTAGGTTAGATATTAGAAAATGTTTCCTTGGTGTGTGGTGAGACACTGGACCAGGTTGCCCAAGGAGGTTGTGAATGCCCCAACTCTGGCGGTGTTCAAAGCCGGGCTGGATAAGGCCTTGAGCGACCTGGTCTAGTGTCAGGTGTCCCTTTCCAAGGTGGGTGGTGTACAACTAGATTATCTTTAAGGTTCATTCCAACCCCTTAACAGTCTGTGATTCCATGAAAACCTCCGTCTCCTCATCACGCCAGGAGACACGTGCAGCACCACTGAACCGTGTGCCCTTTACACCTCACACTCCGTAAACAGAGGAAGCAGGCAATGAATTGTCAACATGTGCAACACGTGCGCTGCGCAGAAAGCGCTGGTGTCACGGGGATTGAGGACAGGCGCCTGGCCAGGTACAGCCAAGCGAGACAGCCCAGCGGCAGCACCACCCCGCGGCAGCCGTCGGCCCAGGCTCCTCCCGCGGGAGGCCGGCCGGGCCGGGCCCCGCCTGCCCGGCATGGCGGAGGAGCGGCGCTTTCTCTCGGCCTCCGGGGTGCCGATCGCGCTGCGGCGCCGCCAGCACAGCGCGTCCTGCCGGGAGCTGGCGGTGCGCGGCCCCCGCCTGCAGCTGCGCTCGCTCAGCGCCGCCACCTCCGCCGTCTGGCTGGCGGCCTACGGGCTCTTCGCGCTCAGCGAGGTACCGGCCCCGCCGCCTCGGGCCCCTCCGCGGCTCGGGCCCGCGCCGGCTGCGCCCTCAGCCCGTGTCCCGCTGTCGCACCGGGGGCGCGCACGGCGGTCCCGCGGGCTGGGCAGCCTTGGCTGGCGGCGCCCGGGGCATGCAGGGCGGCCGGAGCCCGTGGGAAGGCGCTCGGCGGCACTCAGGGGCATCCCCCGCGCCCCGGGGACGCGGAGCTGATGGGCGTGTGGTGGCAAAGGGAGAGCTGAGCCGCCTGCTTGCCCCGGTGTCTTCTCGGGTGCCTCTCTTGGTTTGTAGCCTCTTGACAGATAGGTAGATTCATGTCTGCGTGCTGAGTGATGCCTGGCACATGCTTGTGAGTCCCAGTAACACGTGCTCACTTGGACAGATGAATTGTGAGAATCTGAAGTTAAGGAGGAATTGAAGAAGGTGAATGGTTTTTAATACCCAAAAGGAATTTTCCTGAGTGACTCAGAGAGCACTGCATCATGAATGTCATCAGTTTTCACAGTTGAGGTACAAAGATGTTTGCAGTACAGATTTAAAACTCTGCTGATTTCTAAACTAATGCTTTTGGTTTTATCAAAAACTGGACCCAGACCAGTTATGTCCAGACTGAATTCAGCAGGTTAACCAAGGAAGCTGGTCACTGTGACCCATGCTTTGACTGTTGCACATCCGTTTTTTTCAGTAATCTTTCCTAAGAAATGAAGATAGAGATTGCATTATAAGTCAGTTGTCAGTAGTCAGACGGGAATAGATGGTTCATTTTGGTTGGAGTTTCATTTTTTGTAAAAGCATACACCGCAGTCAGTGGTTACCACCCACTGCCCTCCTTCTTGCCTTTACACACGCTCCTGCAGCCTACCTGCAAGTGACTGCAGTTCTTCCTTTTGCCAGGAAATCAGGTCTGAAAGCATCTCTCTCTTTTTGTGGATTTCTGTGTCTGTACTTCATGACTGGCTTTTTTCCCCTGTGATAGCAAAGTCCTGTGTCCTTTGGAGAAGTCCTGTGTACTTCCTGAAGCCATGGCTTCTCTAGCTCACATCGTGGTACAGACCCAGCTTGAATGGTAGGGCTGTGCACTTCTGGTTGTTTAGGAAGTGTCAGTTATAACTCTCATTATTGGGTAGGTGGCCTGGAGCTCTCTAAAACATGTCCCAGAAACAGGTTGTAGGTTGTGGACCTTCAGAATTTATTATCAGGTCTTCAGATAACTTACTGGGGACTATAGTGTTATCAGTTATATATTAAAATGTAACAGCAGTCCCAGGATTGCAGCATGCAAAAGACATTGATCCTTAGGAAAAGTACAGGATAAAGCAAATTTTCCTTGGATTGGTATTTAAGGCAAAAAGAGGGTGAGGTCTGAACAAGTTTAGACTGGCAGTCTGAAAAAACCACCAGGGTAGTGAGGATTCCTCTGCTCTGAGCATCCACCCTTGTTTCCTGTAAAGATTTCACAGAAAACCACCAGGGTAGTGTTTATCCTGGAGGAGGATTCCTCTGCTCTGAGCATCCACCCTTGTTTCCTGTAAAGATTTCACAACACTCTTTTGTCAGTGACATCATCTTTAGAAGTTGGCATAATACACTCTCATTGATACAACTAGCTTGTTTGGATTGGGATTTCTGCATTGGACTTGGAAGGGAATAGAATTTTCTTGAAGTTTTCAGTTTCAGTTCCCAATTCTTTTAGTGCACTGATTTAAACCTCACTACATGTATATCAGCCAGCCAGGTGAATAAAAGGACTCTGGCTAAGTAAAAATGCGTTGCACCCGTAGCTTTAATATGCAATTTACTGCGCAATTTTACTTTCTCTAAAGCTATGTTAAAGTAATTGTAAGACCAGAGCTCTGCCTTTTCTTGGCTTGTGTTACAGAACAGCATGGTGCTCTCTGCTGCCATCTTCATCACGCTGATTGGCCTGATCATATACCTGCACTTCGTGAAGATTGACCAGGAATCCCTGCTGGTCATCGGCTCACTGGGCATTCAGGTGACTTCATCCTATGCCTCAGGGAAAGAGAGCACAACCTTCATTGAGATGGGTCAAGTGAAGGATGTGGTTATCAATGAAGCCATCCATATGGTAATCATACAAAGTCTGTCTTCTTGTGTCTGGGCACACTCACATCCAGTGTATTTTCATGAGAATGATTTACCAGAGCAATTAAACACAGCACTATCCATAGCTTTACTGGCATCAGGAGCGTTATTGCAGATCTTTGTCCTTGTTCTGTCATCTCTCTCCTCTAAAGGAGAACTCAAACCAAACAAGTAACCTCAAAAAGCCAAGTCTATCCCTTGGATAATGCCACTGGCATTGAGGTAGTGGGTTTAGTTCTTTCTGTTATGCGGTTCTTACAAATCCTGATGCCCAACTCCATATGTAATCAAGATGGAGATGAGAAGCTATGACAACACAGGCAATGGTTTTTCCTATTGCTGGGGTTTTCTGCAAAACTCCTGTAGAAAAGCAGACCTTACCCTTCCAGCATGCATGTGTTCTGTTGAGGTTAAAAGCTTAACAGAAAAAACAGGCAAAATTACTTCTTTATTGAGTGAAAGCTATTGATAAAAATTTGTAGACTTGACTGTGACCTGGCAGGATTTGCCTTCAGCCCAGTGAGTTGAAACAAATCCTATTTCTGTGCTAACTCCAGACAGTTTGATAGCATTTTTATACTCCAATGATTTTTGTCTGTTTGTCTTGTAGCAAAAAGTTATCTACTACCTGTGTATCCTCCTCCAGGACCCTGAAGATCCTCAGGGAGTATCTGAGGTTGTGCCACTCTTTCAGGTGAGTTTGACTGAATGGTGGAGAAATACAGATGGTGGTCTCTGTGTGTGTATCAGTTGTCTAAGCATATTTTTATTCCGCTACAGGTAGCTGGTGACAGTTGCCTTTCCCTGGCTGAGCTGTCAGGGTGGATGGCATTTGAAGTCTCACAGAACTACATACTAGGGATGGGTTTTTTCATTTGCTCTCCATTCAAACAGTAGGGAGTTGTGTCAATCTGACCCAGCCAGGATTTGGCATGAACTGAAAGTCTTTGGCTCCCACAGGGTGCTGAGGACTTGTAGAGCTTTCTGTGCAGTCCTGTGCTCAGGGTTACCACCATAACTCTGGTATTGTGCTGCAGTTGATTTTTCTCTTAGCTTGTGTACCAAAAGTTCTCATAAATCCTCAGCTTTGGAATGACTTCTCCTGCCTGACCTGCTGACAAAGATCATGGTACAAGCCATGACCAATTTGTTTAATGTATCATAACTTGTTTGTGTTGCTGTTACCTCATCTCACCTCTCTCTTCTCTTGCTAATGTGTTCTGACTGTGTATAATCCCATTTTTGGAATGGATTTGCTTTGTGTGTCTTCCTGCCTAACACAACAGTGCCCTTCTCCTTGAGGGGTGGTAAGCAGTGCAGAGGTGCCTCACTTCTTAGACTGCTGAGCTGTAGAGCCCTCTCTGTCCTTAATTCACCTGCTGCTGGTGACTGTTTTATAATCTGCCTGCAGTTTGTGCCTGGATACAGTCAATCTTCAGCTGAATACTTAGGAGTATAAATAGTCTATTCCATTTGCACTTGCTACTAACTCAGTCCCACAACTGTAAAGATCTTTAGTAACAGTAATATAAATTAGATATTTCACATATAAACAAGGGAAAAAGTAGATTTGCTGGAAATCAACAACTATTAAATTCCAGATAGCTGTATTCAAGGAGTCCCACAATTGTAAAGATCTTTAGTAACAAGTAATAAACAGGGGAAAAAGTAGATTTGCTGGAAATCAACAACTATTAAATTCCAGATAGCTGTATTCAAGTATCTGATATTAGTTAGATTAGTTAGATATGCTCCTTTCCAGGTTCAAAGGGTCTGCCTTTTTTTTTTTTGACCATTCAGCTCTGAACTGTTTTGTTTTCATGGAAATATCTTAGCACTGGTAGAGTTGACCCCAGCAACAAAGGAGGTATGGAACTCTTCCATTTTGAAATTCACTACCTGTCTGTAATTATTTTAACATGCAAGTTAGTATGTTAGTTTTGAAGGAGCAGTGATTAGTAACGTCATTTTGTCTCCTTCATTGGGTTTCTCTAACTTATGTCAGCCTTCAAAAATACAGTTTCCTGTGTCACTCAGCCCAGGAGCTCTACTGCACTGATTTGACCTTTTGTTCTCTTGAGCAACTCTTGCAAGGAGGCATTTGATGGACTTTACACAGTAATGCTGCTTTGGGAGCTCAAAAGTTATAGGGTCATAGGGACTGTGGGACCATTAAACTTTCACTTCCTTGCTGTTTTTAAGCTGGTCCAGGTTAGATTTGATGAAAAATCATTGTACTTTGACCACTGTTTGGGTAAAATTAATTGGTGTTTCAGTTCAGAGACTGATTCTCTGTTGTTTGACTTCTAGAGTTCCAAGCCACGACTGGACTGCTTGATAGAAGTGTACAAAAGTTGTCAAGAGATCCTGGAGCAGAGCAAGACAGCTCCACAATCAAGTGAAAAGCTGAATAGCTGAAAAAAGACAGCAAACTTTCAGCAGGACTCAGAGGGACACATGGAAAAGCAAGCAAAACTGCCCCATGAGCAGAGCTTTTTAGGCTCAGACAGAAGAGGTTTTTTCTTGCCTCTCCAGAACAGAATTTTGGGGAAATAGGCCAAAGGGAGACAAGAAAATGCATCAATTTTTTACTGTCTCATGCATCTGAAAATTATGCTAAAATTATAAAATAACCTTGACTGGACTGCCATAAGCATGCATTCTTTGTTTTTTATTTAACCCTTTGTTTGAAAAACACACTCTAAATACCAAAGCTGATGTGTGGGCTCAGATAGTAACTTCCTGATGACAGGAGAATTTCAGAAGGACAAAACCAGAAAATTAAACTGTTGCATTCAGTTATGTTTAATGGAATAAACATAAGAGATCTGAAGACTGACCTCTTCAGGGATCTGCTTGAAGGAGTCCCATGTGATGGAGTCCCTAGAGGGAAGAGAAAGATGATTGATAGTCAAGGATCATTTCTTCCATGTGATGGGGTCCCTAGAGGGAAGAGAGATCTGAGAAAGATGATTGATAGTCAAGGATCATTTCTTCTGAGATCAAGAACAGTTCATCCCAATGAGCCGGAAGTCAAGCAGAAACACCAGGAAGCCTGCATGGATGAGCAAGCTGCTCCTGACAATGCTTGAACACAAAAAGGAAATACACAGAAGGTGGAATTAGGGACAGGTAATTTGGGAGGAATGTAGAAACACTGTTCAAGAGGTAGTTAGAAAGGCTAAAGCCCAGCCGGCGATGAATCAGTTGAAGGGTGTCAAAGGCAACAAGAATGGTTTCAGTAAGTGCTTAACTATCAAAAGGAGCACAGGGAAGATGTGAACCCATTGCTGAATGGGGCAGGGCCTGTTGACACAGGACATGGAAAAGATGTGGCATTTAAAGGGCCACATAAGTTACTCTGAGAATATGAGGCACATGTGTCATTGAAAATGATGGTAATGGCAATGTGAATAAAGTTTTATTAATCTGTGCTCTTGGCAGTAACTCGAGGTTGGGAAATTGTTCTTTGTTGATAAGCTAAAAGTTACCATAACACTTAACTGGTATTTTTCTCTCTATATTCCACAACTCCTTAGTAATATAAAAGGTGACAGGTGTCAAAAGCTAAACCCACAAGTTGGCAGGAGCCTGGATTCATGCTTATTTTGCATACAATGCTGTACCATGCTTGTCCACATAATCTGTAAAGGAACACTTGGCACCATGCCATCATGCAATAAGGTAGAGATAAGGGGATTTGTGGTTTTTTTTTTTTCCAGAGTGCTACAAAGTTTGAAAGACAGAGGTTAGCTCATGTCACAGGAAGTATTCTGGTTGTCCAAGTGAAAGGCAGCAGCTTGGGGATGTACCACTGCCTTTTGTGGCAGAAGAGAAAAGATGTCTCAACAGAGTGGACAGAGTCATGGGCTCAAGGGCGTGCTGGGAGTGTTGGCTATGCTGTAAAAATCCCATGAAGTGCTCAAAATGTGCACTGAAGAAATTACCAAGAATCTGTGTCACAGCAAGAAGTCTGTTTGCTTTAGCAATCTTTTGAAGGAGTGAACAGCCTGTGCCCATGGTGTAGTCATCCACTTAAGCTAAGAGAAGATCAGCAGAGAAACAGGGAATCAGTCTAGGGCAAGTCTGTACCAGCTATGGTTTGTGCCTGGCTACCAAACAATCTGTGTTCATTTTTGTTTGCATCAAAAATATTTTTGGCTTTTAAAGTAGTTTATTTCATTCTGAGAATAATACACATTTAATTCATAGTTATTAATTCACAAACTGCATTTTATTAAGAACAAACAGAAATCTCACAGTATCTTCCAGACAGCCTTTTACTTACACACAGCAGTTAGGAACAGAAAGGCTTTTGTCATCTCATTCTATGCTGCATTAACAGTCATTGCCAAAAGCATTGATTAAAATAAAAAATTATTTTCTCTACCAAAGAATCATACAAAGTAGGTATCTACACAGGGTGGGCTGTTTGAAGAGAGGTAAGCTATAAATAGGGGTATTTGCATCCCTCAGAGTGGGTGGTCCCTGAAACACTCAAGTACTGGTGAGTATTTTTAAGAAATAAGGAAGAAAGAAAGTTTTGTGTATCATGCTTCTCAATTTAAAGTGCAATTGTGGCAAAAAATAATGAGTTTCAGGAGAGCTCCTGTTTATTTATCATCTCTGCTTCCTGTTTGCTCTGGTACAAGTCTCCTCAAGTCTCTGAGGACATCAGGAAATACAGCCTGTGAACTGGAGACTTCTATGCCTTGAATATCCCTAGCACTGATGACGGCTCCTAGCTTTATTACTGGTGGGATACCAGAAGCAAACTGTCAAACAGACCTTCAGATACAGGAGAAATTATTAGGCACAGGTGATAGAGTGAGGAGGAGTAACACTTTGTGTATTCTAACTGACACAGCTGTACTAAGATAATTGTGAGAGAGTGGGGAAATAAAAACCCTATCAGGACATACAGAGACTGGAAAGGATCTAAGGGGAAAAAAAAAGACTAAATACCTTCTTGAAGTTATTTACGGCTCAGAAAGCTTCTACTCCTTTTTGTACCTTCAAGGGATGGTCTTTAAATTCATAACAAGTGGGTACCTTACAGTATTTGCAAATCAGGTCACTGTTCATAGACTCTGCCTGTTTTAGGTCTGCTACACTGTTTCTACAACTCAGCAGAGGATAGTTTGGGGTTGGGTTTGTTTTGTTTGGTTGTTTGGATTTTTTTGTTGTATATTACAAAGATGCTGATGAAGAATTGCTTAGAACAATTTTTGTCTATCCCCCGCTCTTCTCTTTTAGTTTGTGGCTTTGCACCCATCATAAGCATGAAAAAAACACCTTCTTGATGTATCAGCTCTCCCATATGTTTTAGTTGAATGTGTCAAGGTTGGGGGCAGCTACTAGGGAGTAAAACCACTGGTATGGTTGGTTGTTCATTTGCAAATAACTGGTTTGCTATTACTGACTTGAGTCCAGTGGTTGGATTCACACTGTTTTAATTTGGGAAAGCTGCCCATGAATGCATAATTATTATAAAGTTGGATGTGATACTTTTTAAAGTGCAGTTATTTTTCCTTAGCTTTTTTAGAATGCTTATCAAAATAGCACTTAATGCTATTAAATGCACTTAAAATGAACTTAAACTAAGTAGATTTAGATTTTTATGAAGAATTGATATTTTTCTTTTATTTATTTAAAATTCAATAACCTTCTCATAATGAAGTCCATTTGAAACAGATAAAAAAGAAAAACAAACCTACCAACATTCTTTAGGAAAGTCAGAAGAACATGAGTACACAATTGCTGACTACCTCCTCCTTGCTTATGGTACATGAAGGAAGCAGGAGTTTAAAAGAAGCAGCTTCTGTCAAGTCAGAATGGCAGACCTTGTCTGGGAAGATCTGTCCTAGTTGCTGAAAGACAGAAAAAGTACGAAATTTGCTTGCCTTGTCTTCTTTTTTCTGAGATAATGTGCAGTTCCAAACACATCTACAATAGTGGTTATCAGAAAGTCTTTGAAAGTGCTTGTCTGAGAGTGGAGGTTGTGACACACTGAGCCCTGCCCTGCAGCAGCAAGCTATGTTCATCTATGGCACAGAACAGCGTCAGTTTGCAAAATGCACTGGTCCTGCAGGTGCCAGGCAGTCTCTGACACCAGGTCCCAGCTGTTCTGAGAACTCAACGTGAAAAGACCCTAGGCTTCCACCTTTGTTTAAAGTTGAAAATACTCTTAAGTACTGCTGAACTCTAATTCTATACTCACTATTTCAGGTCTGAAATAACCCGTGACTTGCACCAGAACTATTCTTGTGAGTTTAATTCCTCTTCCTTCTTAGCAGTGTCTTTCTTTCATGTCTGAGCAATAACACAAAAGTTTGTCTTTTGAAAGCTGAAAATGGGAGGGATCAAAGAAAATATATGTACTTGTAAAGCAAGGTAGTACAGTAGGAGATGGAAGAATGAGTGCAGATGTAATGACTGGAGCACTGTGCAGGCAAATGACCTGAGGAATGGTATTTTGGATGGAATGTGTCACAGAAAGGAAACTCCCGCACAGTCCCCCAAATGAACTTTTTTTTTTAAGAGGAAGTACACTGCCTCTACCTCTAAGGAACTTTGTCTATTATTATGGTAAAAGAATCAGAGCCTGCCTTAATCTGTGGTATATAACTAACAAAATCAACTCGTGGAACAAGCCCTCAGAGCAGGGTGGGCCCCTTTGTGCTTCGGGGCACGGAAGTAAAAAAGCACCGATTTTCAGTCTCCCAGGGCTTAGCAGGTGTTTTGCTTCGTGAGGGCTGCGTGGAAGACAGCAGTGAAGGAGTCGAACGATAGTTAATGTAGCTGGCAATCAGAAGCGTTGCTTCAACAATCTGGGGAAAAGAGAAAATTATTAACTGTAGGTCAATTAGAGGTAAGAATGCCCTTTGATTTTTAGAATCTATTGACCCTGTGGCTTTTGTAAATGGCTTTCTCTCACAGAATTGCTCAGTTTTAAAATGAAGCCCTGTCTTTAAGAGTTAGGTAGAATAAGTCTCTTGTTGAAGGATCTGTTGAATACATACAGCTAGTGCGAAGTCTCTTGTTGAAAGGTTCCAGCTTACAAAGGATCTGTTGAATACATACAGCTAGTGCAGTAGCCAAAGTACCAGCCCCCAGGGCTTGTACAAAACACCCAGCCCTGATGCTGCCAGCTGGAAATAAACTTGCTTTTCATTTGTAATTACCTTTGGAATTGCCATTGTGAAGAGGAGTTTTTCAGTGCTATTTTTTCCAGAACTTCTTTCTTTCATTTTACTGACTACAATCATGAAGTCATCTCGACAGCCTCCGAAGGTCAGCACAGAAGAGTATGAATAAGAGACCTTCAAATGCTGCAGACAGAGAGTTTGAAAAAGTCATAGTTCTGTAAAAAACTCCAAATGTCTACCTTAAAGTAATATATTAGTTTATATTGCTACTTCCTGCAAGAACACCGGGTCTCCAGCAGTGAAGGGCAGCAGATGGCTCTATAGGTAAGAGCTGGCAGAGAAAGCTCAAGTGAGAATTGCATTTCTAGTTTTCTCCTGGTGTGCTCGAGGCCTCACTACTTCATAGTACGGATTTTGTTATATTCCAGATGGTGGTAGTAAAGAACACACCACTGAGACTTTGCAAGATGTATGAACGTGTTTGCTACCCTACCTT